TCATTTCCATTGTCTTCGCAGAAAAGTAAGCAATTTACTAAATATTATATGATGGATAAATATGAGTATCATGTAAGAATTTATATCTGTTTTTGTCATTATTGTCATCAGAAATATGTGCACACATATACAGGAAGTATATATGTACATATCTTAGCAAATATTTAATTTATATGCAAAATTATGTATTATTTTTATTTTATTGCGCGAAATACTCCCGCCAGCTCCTCAATTCTCACGTTGACGGCACCGTTGCGCATTCAAGCTGATTTCCTAATTTACTGAGTGTCTTATCGTGTTCAATTGTCACTTTTGAAATGAATTACTGCACAGACAGGCAGTATATATATACATACGTTACGTTTTACTGTAACAAATACTATGTATCGATGTAATTTTCACATCACATAGAATTGAATATAATAATCGCCGCTCTTTATACTTAAGATTTGTTATATCATATATATTTATTAAGGTGCGCAAAAACTAACATATCAGATTTATATGGTAAAATAATATATCCATATAAAAAAAAATATTCCTTGAAGAAAAAGTTTTTATCTTAATTTTAAAAGGCATCCGGTAACCATTCAAAATGTCCATATAAATCACACGCTAAAAACTGTTTTCATTATAAATACTATAACTTTTGAACCATTTAGGATACAATATTTAACATCGCGAATCCTTGTAGAGCATAAAATTTCAAAAAAATCTACCTCTATTTAAAGGCTTTTTGTTTAAAGTGGAAATTTTATACTACACTGTTCAAAATTATAGTATTTGCAATAAAAACGGGGTTTTTATGTGTTATTTATATGTGAAACTTTGAATGCTCATTGACACTGTTTAAAAATTAAGCCTAACATTTTTCCTTGCAGGGATATTTTTTACTCTGTGAGTAACTTTTTTAACCCAAAAACTTCATATGTTAGTTTTTGGCACCCCTAATGTTTATGCAGTTTCAGTAAGCATTGGCGGAACCAAAACTATGACGCGGGGAGTTTGCGCAATTGAGGTTTTCAGCCGCTACCAATTGTAATATCATTCTATGAACTTTTTGGAAGAGCGCTTTTGAGCGACCCGTTACTTTAAATTAACTATTCTTAGTGTCACCACAATTTTTAAGGAGTCCTTGGTTTTGGTTAAGATGTTCCAGCAACAGATAAGGCTTGGAAATACCATCGATTTATTTGTTTTTATCCAAAACGTTTAAAAGTTTCACAGAACCAGATTAATAATACAAGTATATTCCCTCTAGAAGATTATCCCTTTTATGTACGTCTATGTATGCTATTACTTACACATATGGGTGCAGCTTGAAGTGATTTTATAATTTAGGAAAATTTTCAAGTACTTTTTTATTTATTTTATTAATTAGGGAATGCTACAATTTATTTTCTGAATATTTAACCACACTGGCGCTTTAAAATACAATTATCGAAGTCATTTATAAAGTCAAATAATTAACCATATAATTTATTTGTTTGTTTTAATAATTTAATAACAGTGAATCACACCTCACATTGTATGTTTTAACTACAACAAAAGAGTAGAAAATTTCTGTTTTCATGCCCCCTTCGCATAGCTTGAAAATATTATATATAGAACTGAAAAGTAAAACAATACGCTAAATTTGCATTCAATTTGAGGTTTTATTTAGCATAGAATTCTATGATTCAGATCAAATATGTACCATTTGTTAGCATTTATAAAGTAATTTCCTAATCTAGTAGAAGCATTTATCTCTATTGACACTAAGCTGGGACAGTCGATTTCACAAGCTTCTGGTGATGTTTGTTTCCTGGCGTTGTACTGATGTAACACAATCTCTCTCCTAATGGCCAAAGCTGGGCGATTGCTTTCTTCAGACGGTACAATTGTTCACAGTACAGCTCAAAATTCAGAGATTGTCTGCGGAGCAGCTCGTAGTAAATAATTCCCTGATAATCCCACCATATTTCATATAAACATAATAGGTATATCTTCACAGACAAAAGCGTATGGTTTTTTCAAACGTTTCTCCTTTTGAATATGCAATCATATTTTAATGCCCACAACTGTCTTCCTCTGTCTGAGTATGGTAATGGCTTAGAAAATGATGTATTTATTATACGGAAGGAACAGATATTCTTAAAGTCAGTATATGCCACCCAGATGAAGATAAAAACCTATATTACCGATAAATATGTAGTTCTCAAGTATTATGGGCAGGTTTTGTGTTAATATCTTCCGTAAATTTTCAGCTATCTAGTGTATATGTATATAAAAAATGTGCGTTTACACTTCTGTCTCATTTAAAGAACCTAACAAGCGGTCTCTAAACGGATGCTAGAATTTATACAAGCAGAAATTTTATCATCATAAAATTATGCTCAGAGCTTTAACATTAATTGCCGAAGCTCAAACTTTGTTCTAAAAAAACCCCTTTCGGTGTAAAAATGTAGAAATTTCATTTAGTATTATTTATAAAAATTCAATTTATATTTTTCAAAGGTAAATCGAAAACATTATAAAATGTCAATAAACTATGATTTAATAACTCCATGAAATGTAAAACAGATTCTTTAAACATAAATAAATTCCAATATAACTATTTAAGCCAATCGTAATTTACAATATCCGTTAAGCTCAATTGTTTTAACCGAACAAAAATATTGCTTTTATATATTTAAACTCTTGAACTTTTACAAGGTTCGATTTGTTGATAATGTGCACCGCATTGCTCCATAATATACACATACAAAGTAGTAGCAATACCAACATACACACATAAGTATCTGCATACCACTGCAGGATTTTATTTCCGTTTTCGTATTTCTGCTCTTTTTTGGTAAAACTCATTTCAATTTCAAGGTAAATTTTTGATTGCCTGATAACGACTAAAATGCAACACTTACTTCACACTGATTAACACATACGCATTGCTTTTTATTTGCGGGTTTTTGTTTGTAAAAAAACAAGAAAAAAAACTGTTTCATTGGGACACGATTATTTACACATTGGCCATTTAACGTAATAAATTACAAAACTTTACGAGGTGAGATGATTTCCGAAATGAAGTATGTGGAAGAGAGGAATTTTAACAGCAAGGGCTTTTTCTAATACTCATGTAAATATTATGAGTATTTTTATGTGTGCGTGTATGAGCATATAAATATAGTTTTGAATTAGTTCAAAGAAAATTATAACAAAAGCTTACGTTTTAGTTTATTTGGTAATTTTAGACTGCAACATAATTACTTTTCAATTATGTGCGTACGAGTATGTATTTAGTACATTCAAGGTTGCTTTGGATATAGATATATATAAGTACATACTTGTGCTATAAGAGTTTATATTCATATAAATAGAATGGATTTGTTTGTACATACATATATGCTTAGTATTGTATTTTGTTGCGAATTTTTATGCATAACGGTACTCTTTGATTTGCCTATTAGGTAAATATTACAATAAACAATTCCCCAAGTGAGGAATAGTTCAAAAGTAAACTAAGGCAATAGGGCAAATTTTATAATTTAGCGCTTTAAACACTTAAATATTTTTTTCTTTATTGTCTGACTGTTCTATATTTTGATATGAGCCTTGAAAGTACTTACTATGCCACATGGCTGAGAGATTTTTAGAACAAAATCAAAGCTGAAATATATTTATTACATTTTTTATTGTTGATGGAAGGTTTCGCTTGTGCTTTTTTTGTTTTGACGTGGTTTTTTCACTGTCGACTCCTTTTTGAAGAACCATTCACTAGATTGTTAAACAGTTTCGAAGTCATATTCATAAATCCATGTCACCGTCGTTTGATGAATGCAGGGTGCTCAGCTACGTTGTCAAGCATCTCTTTTGCGCCCTCTATGCGACGTCGTTTTTACAAAAAATTCATGTCTTTTGGTACGTGCCTAGCATTGACACGCTTCATACACAAAACATCAACCAAAATGTTTTGTGTCGATCTACAAGTATGAGAGGTGTTGAGGTCCTTTGTTATCTCTCTGATACCAATGCGACGATTTTCAAGCACTCTTTCTTTAACTTGTAATAGCGTCATTTACAGAAGTGGATGGACGACTCGTATTAGGCAAGTTTCCGATGACTTCACGCACCTTCACTCAACTTTTTCAAAACGATCAAGGAACCCAAAAGCATAAACCAAACCGAAAAATGTTGGCCAGCTCTGCATGTAGCAGAGGTGTAGTAGAGAGTTACTAACCATGTTAAAGAGAAATGTTGAAAGCGGTATAGTAATGAAGAGCAATTATGTGTATGTATGTGTGTATGTTACATGGGGTTAACAGGTGTTTCACTCAGTTAACGCTAATTTAAATTAACTACAACTATTACGGCAATGCTAACTCTTAATACAAACATCCACAAATACACGTTTGCATATAAATACGTTATTTTTTGTTGTTGTTGTGGCACTGACAATGACTTTGTCGTACATTAACGATGCTTTTCTTCTGTTGATAAACGAAAATACCTGAAATGACTCATACATACATACATAGATTCATTCATGATTTTTATCAGCGGCCAGCTATTGCTACTGATTAGATCGAGATTTCCCAAAGGCAACAACAATAAAAAGATCGACACACAAATGAGAAACAACAAACGAGAGAGTTAACGCTCGCAATACATACTCGTGCCGACAACCTGTTGCACGGCAGGTGTACAAGTGTATGAACTACCGAGTCGTGTTGTCGAGCAGACGATGGAGCGCACGTCCCTCTTGCGCTCGTAAATGACAAGCGGCCATACGAAGTGCTTTTCGAAGTTCGAAAAGCTTGTTGATTGTAATCGTTTGCATGTATATCTGCATGTACTCGTATTTGATAAAGTTTTAAGTGATGTCTTTCATTTTTGGTTTGTGTGCTTATTGGCAGCTTTAATTTTTCACTTGTCGCCTGTTTGAGAGAGTGTGTGTGTGATATTTTTGAGCGCAGCTGGAGAGTTGGTGGTTAATATACTGGCTGACCGCCTGGCTAGCTCGTTGATTTGTTAGCTGATTAAATGTTTGTTGGTCGGTTTTTATTGTTGTAGCTCTAGCTTGCTGTGAGTACTGATCGCTGTTAGCGCTTTATTATAATACCGAGCGTATGCCGTCTTCGACCATTCAGTGTACGATATTCCGGCGCACGGTTAAGACGGTTGGAATATTTCAAATTTGAATTTCGACCAAATCATAGCGGTTCCGTTTAGACGAGTTATTTGCTCTTTGCTATCGTTCGATACAAGTAGTGCGGAATGTGTATAAAAAAAAAAAACTTTCTGAAGATACAAGGCATGCAATCACAATAAATTATTGCTAACGTAGCTTTTATTTGTGCCAATAAACAATTAAAATAAATTAAAATAAAGTGAAGCGTCAAGACTTGAAAATATCTTACACACGTTTTAAACATAATTTTATGTTTTTAAGAGTAAAAAACAACAAAAACTTATATAATAATTAAAGTTATCTAACGTGTTTGTGTTGCATGTAAGCTGAAATATTTTATTTGTTTTAATTTCTTATTTCCACACGATCAAGTTTTGCATATTTTGGCTAGAAAGCGCAGAAAGAAACGGCTTAATTCTCGGTTTTAATGTTCTTCCTGTTGCTGCGATAAAATTAATTGTATTGTGTTAAGTGTGCGTCTATTGGTTGAAATAACTTGCAGATAAAAGCATAAAATTAGTGATATATTCAAATTACTAGTGTAATAACACTAAATCAGTCAAATAAATCAAGCGCTTAAAATGACAAGTGCAAGGAGAAAAAAAATTTCAGTCAAAGACTCAAAAAATTAAAAAAAATAAAGTTAAAGAAATACCGTACAACGACACCGTTGACACGTTTGACCATTTTGGCCAGTTCAACTGGCTAGCTAAGCCGCAACCACATAACTTGGCTGAAAACACCGCGACCCAAACACGATTGACAGCCCAAAGGCCACACGTTTAACCTTTAACACACATTTTAAGAAATCAAAAAAAAAAAAATTAAGATTGAACGGGTGAATATATTAAAAAAAAACAATATAAACAAAGTAAAATACTGGAAATCCCAGTAAAGAATAATAATTTACATTTTAAGCGCTTGAGCAAAAACAATTAGTACTAGTTTTATAATTAGGAAGTGACTATTTTTAGAGCTTGACTACATTTGCTTAGTGTTTAACAATTTTTATTTATGAATATTTTCCATTATCTAGTTTTTACATATTTTTTTCATAATATTACAGTTCATAAGCTATTTTTTTAATTTTTAAAACATCTTTGCTGTGCAAGTAAAGCTTTGAAAATCTTTAATTATTAATATAATAGTCTGTAGCTATAGTGAAAAAATGGTGCTTTGATGAAACACAGTGGAAATTATTGAAAAGAGGTTAATTTGGAAAAATATATTTATAGAATTTTCGACCAAAATGTATGTTGTTGTTTAAAAATCTAATGTTTCACACTTTTTTTTAATTTCGATTATTTCTTATCGGAAATATTATTTACACAGAAAATTATATTACCTTGTGAAATATGTGACAGTTTGTTTGAAATAAGCCACATTGGATTTTGTATTGTTATCGACGTTGTAAAGCAATAAAAAGCTGGGAAAACACAAGTTTGCCTACTGTTTCCTTTTATGTTTGGGTGATTTATGTCTTCCACTATTATAATCTATCTTATTATAACCATAATCTCGTTTGGCCAAAGAAAATAGAATGTAATAATGGAAGCATAAAAAGTGTACATACATACATATGAAATTTGTTTTTTCCAACTCTCTGTATTTTATATATATTTATAGAGTTCAAAAAAAAAAAGCGAAAAGGTTCAAAACAAAAAATAATAATAAAATAAATGTAAAAAAATTAAACTTGAAATAATTATTAATACATTTATTAACACACCAAGCATTAAGAATTACCTTGTCCTTCCACAATTCTCAACTGTTAATATTAATTATAAAAGCCCTAGAAAATATTTGGTCAACAAACACTTTTTAGGTTTAATCACTCAAGTACAAAAAATTAAAAACAAATAAAAGCATAAATTAAATTTAATACGCTTATTAACATACCAAGCATAAATATTACCTTTTCTTTCGACAATTAATCATTTTAAACTGCATATTAATTGAGCGCTGCAAAACGAAGGCTGCAAGTTGTTGGTATAAACGAAACGATAACAAACAATAAAGCAAACAAACTTAAAAAATTACTACACAAAACTAAAGAACAATTTAGTATTTATTTTATTTTAACATTGCATTCATACCCTTTATGGCCAACAAGCTTGCCAAATGGGTAAACGCACGACTACGCGCTTGCGCGTTAACGCCTGCTCATCGCAATCTATCGCGTGTTGATTGATTGCGTGCAAATTAATAGCTTTAAAAATAGTGGTTAATTAAAAAAATCAAAATAAACGAGTTCAATGCAATCCAAGCAGCATTCATGGGGAGGTCAAATCATACAACACCCTCGCAGTTTGCGCAATTTAAATTTATAGCAAGAATAGCAGTTCAAATGTTTACAAAAAATAAATGCAGTAGACAAATAACACACAAGCTTTGTTACATATATGCACGTACATTAACAACAACTTCATGCGATACACCGTTATGTTGCCACGGTATAAAATTATTCAGATATCCACTTCTATATGGATATACATACATACATTCATATGTACGCTTGTCTGCACTCATGACGTTCTAGTCGACGCCAACAAAAGCGCCAGCCTAGCCGACTTTTCTTTTTCTTTACTTTTATTTTATTTATTTATTTTTTTGAATATTTATTTTCTGCTAATTGTGCATATAATTATTAATAGCTAAACAACGGCGCGTGCGTGCCGGCACCTACATGCATATACGAGTATATGTATATGCATACATACATGTATATAATTGTATGTGTGTATGTTTGTATTTATATGCATAAAACGTCAGACGTCATCATTTTCACGATAACTTGCTGAGCATTGTTTTTGTTTTTACATGTTCACTTGATTTTCCGCTGTTTCTGCTTGATTACTGCAAATTCACATGCAGGCAATGTAGAATTCTTTGGAAAAAAGAAGAAGAGAAACGAAAAAAAAATCGAGTAATTAAATGCAAAAAGTATTTTTTTTATAATATTGTACTCGTAAATAAGTAAATAAGAATTATTGTCATTGCCGGTTATTTATGCACTTACTTATTTATACATATGTGTATATCTATGTACAACTAGTGGTGATATGTGCATTTGCGCCAGTGCAAATGGGCAGTGAATGGGCACTGCCACCTGACACCGCTGCTGCTACTGGTGCTGCTGTTGTTATTGCCGGCAACGTTGCTGAGTTGCTGGCAGACAGCCGCCGGCTAACACGTGAATGAACGCAATTACATTTATATATTTTTATTTGCATACATACATATATACATGTATGTACAAACAACTGTGCAGTCGGATGTGGTACATACCCGGCAAGAAAATGTGTGCCTCAAATTATTATGCTTTTCTCATCTGGGTCAAGGCAAGTTTGAACTCATATAAAATATTTTCACTTTCAGTCAATATTAATAAATCTCGGAATTCGATTTCGACATTGAAATTTATTTCATAATAACTGATCAAGTTAAAAAAATAGCTAGCATAACAGTTTTAACTTCTCAGATGAAAAGACTAAGTGTTGTCAAATGTATAACTCACACAAGTTTTTCTTGCCGGGTTTTGTTCATACGTAAACTGATTGTTAATGAATCGAGCATTTTATTTGCTTATACGTACATAGTTATGTCTCGAAATCTGCTGGTATCAATATTTGAACGTTTGACGGAAGTTGAAAAGTTGAGTACTCCCATAGAATGTTTATTTTGTTTTTGAAAAAAGCTTTTTAAATTCCGTCATATAATCGATCCCTTTACTCCAAGGCAACACCTTGTTTAAGTAATTTTCTTTCTGTAAAACTTTTTGACCTTTGCGCTATCTCACCTTGTTGATTCTTATGTAGAATATAAATGCATCTGAAGATTAATTATGTATATACATTTTGACTTAACGGGATATATTCACATGCAAGTTAGAAAAATTCGTCTTTTCTGAATTTTTTTAAGAGGTATTTTATTTTATAAATTTTTATTTTATAAAAAAGGGTAATTCATTTAAAAAAAATTTTGATTCTTTCGATCCCGTAGCTGATAGGATAACTGAAAAAAGCAGTCTGACGCTGAGAATCACTTTTCTGTTTAAAATTATCTCACATTCAAAAACCGACAAATTTATTATTGCAATAATTTAATACAGGTAATGATTGGTGAACTAGTCAAAATTCTAATTTTTTGAAAAAATGGTGGGTTCCAAAAAAAGCACAATATTTTTATTTTTAAGTTACCCTTCAGAGTGGCTTAAAAAATCGAAATTATTATCTAAAATCTTATTATTTCGATAATTACCTGGCAAATACATCTAACAAAGTCATGTTATAATTTCAATCGGCCAATCGGTTTATCAATTTCGGAGAAATTTTCCTCAACGACTCTGGAAACACGTTTAAAATTTTGGGAACCGATTAAACTAAATTCTCATATCTATGAAACTCTTTGCTCTATTAACTTCAACTTTTCGGAGAACATATTCAAATATATGTACATTCGATATATATGCAAAAACAAAATCGGTTTTTTGAAATTAAGTAGGAACAACTCCTTAATACAGGGTCTCTATAGTTTTTTCTTTTTGAAACAATTTCAACAAACATTATCAATTTTTCATAGATGTATCTACCTACCATAATATATATTGTTAAATATATTAATTTTACTCGTATATATTTTTGCAAGAATTTACCTTAAAGTTAACGTTAAAGCTGTTATCACAATTTCAGGAATATTTCATATCACTTAAACGACGTTTTGGAAATATTCTTCATACTACGAAGAAAGTTGTACATTCGTCGAGGATTTTTTCTTAAATAACGATTCGAAATTTTTTCAATTAGAAGTCGATTAATAAAATGAGTGTACTAATGGAGAAGTAATGAACTCTGAGTTAATAATATTTAAACTGTTAGTAAGCGTGTAATTGCTGGAATATTATCTAAATCGTATCAAAACCTTTGCCCTACAACCATTAATTAAATCATCACCAAAGTAATTGTTTTTGTAGTCAAGTATAAAAATTCAAAAGTCATCCAAACAAAATACTGATGACATAATTGTATGGAATGTAGAATATCATAACTGACATTTCTAAATAATTAACTACTGTGATTTCCGCTTAGTTTTTCCATTAATTTAAACTGATTTATTTTTCAAATAATACTGTCTTCTATCATCATCGTTATTACGATAATTACATAGTTTATCGGCGTTGCAGGCGTTAATGAGCGCGTGAATTAAATAAAATCGCAACTAATCATAGCCATAACTGTCCATTTGTATGTATTTCACGTGTAAGTTGTTACGTTTAGTCTACATAGACTTTTTTCACTTTTATTTAGCGTAGAAATGAACTT